TCTATTAATAGAAGCCCCCTCAGAAAAAGGTAATTTGTTTTCAGCCATGGATAGAAGAACTTGAATAACTCTTAAGAACCTCGCTCTGATGCCAATTGTTAGAAATGTAGGCTGAGATCAAGAGGGGGGGTGAATTGATCTTTGAAAGATTTTCGCAATTAACAGATTATCAATTTTAAAGATTAAGAAATCTGATCAATTCTTGAATCACACACAGCAAGCAATGAAAAATAAATGCAGTCACAAAATTAAAGAAGAGAAAGGTTTAGAAAGATATCACCAGGGTTTATACTGGTTCACCCAATCTTAGGGCTACATCCAGTCTCCAGCCAAATTCCAGTTGGGTTCCACTAGATTGAATGTTTTACATATTACAACCTTAACCTTACACTCAATCTAACACAAGAACCACAATTCCAGTTCCTGCACCTAACCTTTCACCAAGAACCAAATTCCAGTTCTTGAACTACCCTGCAGCCAAATTCCAGCTACAGAAACCAGTGCCCACAATTCCAGGCACCCACAATATAGTAAAAGAAAGTAAAGAAACAAACATAAGAAACTAAGAACGCTCAAACTAGTTTTATGCAGTTCTGCAATATGTGTTTCTTCTCCAAAGTAATGCAATTTTGCCTCAAGAAAGAACTTTGATGAACTTCACAAAAACAAGCGTGATTCTCTCTTGAAAGTAGCACTTTTGATTGCTTGATTGATTGCTAAAGGATGTATAAAAGATGTGTTTAAAAAAGTTCAAGTAATCTGTTTATATAGAAGATTTTTCAAAACTGCTGGTTTAATTAATCTGTTAAAATAATCTTTTAATCTGTTAAAAGTCTTGTTTTAATCTGTTAAATCTACTTTTAATCCATTAAAGCATTCCTGATTATTTTCCAGATTTGTTTTAACTGATACGACAACATTTATATCAATTAAAACTCTTTTCAAAAAATCTTCTAATCTGTTTAAATCGATTTTTTCGACTTTCAATCGATTAAAATACTGCAAAACATTTTTATAAACTTTTCCAAGTGATTTTAACTGATAAAAATAGATTTTAATCGATTGAAACATTTAGTACAAATGTTCCAAGTTGTTTTAATCTATTGAAACATGTTTTAATCGATTAAAATAATTCTGATCGGTCATAACTCAAATCTGATCGATCATATCTGGTTCTGATCGGTCATAAATCCATTTTGATCGATCATATCTGGTTCTAATTGGTCATAAAGCCATTCTGATCGGTCATTTGATATACTAAGTGGTTTTAATCGATTATTTCGAAGTTATATCGACTAAAATACTGAAAAAACACTTCCCTGATCTTTTTAAGTTATTTTAATCGGTTATTTCGAAATTGTATTAGTTAAAATATTGACAGAAGGTTTTCAACACTTCTTTTAATGAAAACAATCGGTTATTTTGAAGTTATATCAGTTGAAAACCTGTTATAGAAGTGTGAAGAACATTTTAGTTGATAAACCACATATACTATCAGTTAAAATAGTTGATTAAAAATTCTTTTGTCAAAATGTTTTGTTTTTAACGGTTAAAACATTTTTTAGAGGCAATTGCATAATCTTTTTAAGTGAAGAAACCTCATGCAGCAGAAAGATAAAATGGTTGTACCTAAGCAGAGCTGTAGATACACTAATCCTCTTCTCTTTTATCCAAGTGACCTTTGACTACCACAAAGTTGCCTTAGACTTCATTTTTGATTTCATCAAATCAACAAGATCTTTGTCAAAGTAATTCAATAAGATCTTCATTACTTTCAGAACCATCTAATGTACAAAGGCTTTTTGTGGGGGGGCCCCGTTCGATATACTTTTGAAACAACAGTTAGGAAATCAATTCGGACCTTAGATTTGTGAATAGGGGCTTTACTTTCTGAGGGAAGGCTAAGGGAAGAAGAAAACGATCCTCCACAGTAGCGGATGGGACCACCAAACGCATAATCTATATTTTCAGCGGCGTAAGGAATAAGTACCTGAGTCTCAGTAATCTTTTGCGAAGCCTCTTCCATCAAAGGGACTGGAGCAAACTTTTTCCCATTAATCTCTATCAAAGTTGAAGTCACTGAGGAAAGTGGTGGGACAGAGAGGTCGGAGGATTTGGAAGTCGCCATTACAGTTAGTGGAAAGGTTGAAGACGAAGAAGAGGTGCAACAGAGAAGAAGTAGATGAGGTTCGTGGTAAAAAACAAGGGTAAAAAAAATGATAAGAGTATTTAAAGAGGCCAACTAGGGTATTTGAAACCATGAATGTGAAGAGAGTAATTAATTCGTGGCGTGCGCATTGTGACAGTAGAGGTGATGTGATTTGATATTTGACATAAAGCAGAAAAACCCTAAAAACCCCAGAAACCCTAAACCCTAAAAAGTTATGTCGAGCTTCAAGAATGTTTAAGGGCGGGAGTTATTTTTGAAAGAATATAAAAATTGATACAAAAAAAATTATTCTTTCAACGGGGCATTTGTTAGTAGAAAATCGATACAAGGATCGAAAAAACAGAAGAGAGAAAATCGAAGATCATATGATTGGTTAAAAAGTTGATAAATCGAAAAGATGGTTGGAAGACACCCGGTGACCACGAGATAGTATGAACATATAAATCGAGAATGGAAATCGAGAATCAGAAAAGAGAGAAACAAATTGATGAAAGTAATGATAAAGTATAGTGTAAAATCAAGGTTAAGGGAAATCGGACTCGATATCGAGATCGAGGGAAACGGTTATCATGCATATGGAACATGAAGAGTGGCTTTTTACATCACGACTAAGGTTAGAAATCAAGAAACAGTTATAATGCACATGAAACGCGGAAGCGATTTTCTAAACCGTAAACTAAGGTAAAAATCGAGGATCGTGCACACGGAACGTGGTGACAGTTTTTAAACTGCTCTTAGGAGGTTATATTGAAGGATGCCTATAAATAGAACAAAGCTTGAAGAAGAAAGGGAAATTTCCAGAGACAACAGAAGCACAAGTGAAAAGTCTACCGGAGAACGACAAATCATGAAGTTTCTGGCGATCTGGATTTCCATCATCATTGACTGTTTTTACCGCTTTCTTTACTTTCCCTGGTAATTTACTTTCATGTAATTTACTTTCATGCAATTTACGTTTATCAAATTTAAGTTTCTGTCCTTTCAATTCCTGGTCATTTTCATCCTTATGCAAGTTAAGATTCTGCAATTTTAAGTTCCTTGCCATTTACACTTCTACAACTTTAAATTCCTGTTATTTACATTACTGCAATCTCGATTCCCTGCTATATTACTTTCACGAAATTTCGATTCCCGCCATTTACATTTCTCAATTTCGAGGTTTCTGCATTTACATTTCTCTGTAGTTTAATATTCTGAACTGCCTTTCATTTTCGATGCGTTTTACTACTTTCTTTACTTCATATTTCTTAATAAAAAAATACCAAAAAGAGTACTTTCGATTGTCAATCTGTATGATATATTGCATTGTTAACATTTCTCGACACTGTGGTATTGACATTGTGGTATTTTCGATTCTCATACATGTTTCGATTGAAAACTATTTGCTAGCCTAAGTAAAAAGAATCTACGTGGTTGAAATTTGATTAGAACCTAAGTCTCCGAGAAATCGAAATCGATTAAATTTTCTCCAGAAACAAATAGTAATATAAAATAATAATGATAATAATAATAATAATAATAATAATAATAATAATAATAATAATAAAACAAAAATCATTAGTCAAAAGTACATGCATCATGCACCAATCATGAATTTGCATATCATACACCACACATTATGCATTACATATCATACTTTATTTGTGAATCACATGTCATGCACTTTGTTTTTAAATTACATATCAAGCACTTTATTTGTGAATTAAGTATCATACATTACTTGTTTAATTAAGAATAAATAATTATTTAACCTTTGTTCCATTCAATTTATATCTATCTAGAGAGTTTTAATACCGGGTCTCCATGCCCAAAATAATCAGACTTGTGCCAATAGCAGTGCTTTTAATGTTTAAATACATGTTTGAACTCCTTAAAGTTAGGGTTTAAATTATATGCATTACTTTCCAAGCTCTCAACACCTCAAATCATAGCTTTGTATTTGGTCCCCAAGCCCTAGGTCTCCAAACCCACTTCTAAATTTTTAATCGCCATATTTTAGTTACAATATTGGATCCCCAAGTCCACTTCTAAGTTTTCAAAATTTTCAAATCACAATTTTACATTTGCATATTTCAATCACAATATTGGATCCCTGAATCCACTTCTAAGTTTTCAAATTTTTCAAATCATAATTTTATATTTGCATATTTCAATCGCAATATTGGATCCCCGAGTTCACTTCTAAGTTTTCAACTTTTCTAAATCACAATTTTATATTTGCATATTTCAATCACAATATTGGATTCCCAAGTCCATTTCTAAGTTTTCAACTTTTCAAATCACAATTTTATTTATATTTACAGTATTTCGGTGTTCACATCTTTAATTATGTTTTATTACAATAATATAAATTCACATTCAAATTATCTAATAAAACTTAATTAAAAAGGGACAACTGTAAACACCAAATAGATAATAAAAAAAATAAAAATAAAAAATCCACCCTACAACTCAAATCACTAGCCAGCCACCCTATAGCAACCAGCTAGTCAACCACCTTATAGCCACCAGACAGTCAGCCACCCTACAGCTCCAGCATGTTACCAGGCCTATATAAATTGAGAGGGAGACATAAAAAAGGAGGAGGCTTTTGGTTTTGGGATGAATGGATTCTAAAAAAAAAGAAGAAGAAGAAAACAAAAGATTCAACCAAAAAAAGAAAACAACAGATTCAACCAAAAAGTAACATATTCAACAATTGAGAGGGAGACATCAACAAAAAGCGCTTTTGGTTTTCAGATGAAAAGAGGAACGTAAAAAAGGAAAAGCAACATATTCTATAGAATCAACAGGATACAATCCTAGATCCATTGTTCCTAATCTACCATTATCACCGACGACTACCACGACGAGATCCACCGCCCAATCGGCGGCCACCATAGTGAGTCCACCGCACCACCAGCAGCCACCATAGCCCAGTTGTGACCTTAATCTCTGCGCTCTCCATCTCATCCATCGCTTTTTTTGGTAGCAAACCCTTCTCCCTCACCCTTACTGATGTTGTGCCTTCAGACCCACCATGCACCAAACCATTATTTTCCACTTTTTCTCTAGCCACCGTTGTGACCCACTGTCAGTCACTCCACAACACTGCAGGATAATCGCATCATCATCATAGTCGTTGCCTCCACTACTCCATCTCTTTTAGCTTCACCACTAACTATCCATTTCAGCGTTCTCTGTCGTCCAGCCAACCACCACGGGTCACTACGAGTCTTGGCCGCAACAACCACTACATATCTCTATGAACCACCACCGCACGTCTTCGCAAACCACAACCCATCACCCAACCTTCCTCCACCATGTTTGAGTTTCTACCCTCATCGACATTCATCACCATCCCTCCTTCACTTTAACCTTTTTTTTCTCTCTCGATGACAAAACTTCTATTATAGAAACCCCAAATTGAAAATCTCCCTTTCTTCACACCTTCCTGAATCCAATCTAACACTTGGGCAAAATGAGCCTTTTACGTCGGACATTTTAGACTTTTTACGTCTCATATAAGACCGACGTTAATATGGTAGACGTAAATTTACGTTGGACCCTTTGACCAACATAAATTCACATTAGATATCGAGACCCGACATTATTCTACGTTACATATATGACGAAACAGACGTAAAAGGCTTCAAAATTTTAAAAAATTGGGTGAAATTTACGTCGAACGTGTGTGTGTCTAACGTAAATTTTGTCTTTTTTTTTATTATTGGGTTTATTTTGTCTTACAATCAAAACCTGCAAACATATATTATAGCCAAACAGTGTAGAGGTTCAAGTTTCTTTGAAAACCTGAAATGTTAAAGTACATAGTACAATACAAACTAGAAATGTTGAACGAAAAACCTTATTATTTTGTAATATCATGTCTTGATAGTGGAAATGGATGAATCTTAAAATACCTGAAACATTAATTTGAGTCTAGTTAACATGCAATACACAGAAAGGTAAATGAACTTAACAAATGTTGAAAGCAATTACCTCTGGTTATACCCACATAAACTTTTGTGTATTACATGTGCTTAGGAACATATTTTAGAAAAATTGTTAAGGCAAATTCCCCTCTTCTTCGCCTTTTTCTCTTCTTTTTCATATGTTGTGTGTCTGAATCCGACATCCAATATTTTCCATTTTCTTTTCATCATAAAACCCTAATACACAAAACAACAACAACAACAACCTAAACCCCCAATATACAAATTAAAACAACAACAACAATAACAAAAAACTAGAATTCAAACGCATAACACACTAACTACAACAATTCAATATCAATAACAATTCAGTGAAAACATTCAATTTTAACATAACAGAGTAGACGTGACACATAGAACATTAGCCTCAAATATACAAAAATATTGTAAAACTCGAATTCAATCGGAGAGAAATGTCAATCACCACAAATGAGACACAATAAAAGTATTCTCGTCACTAAATACTAAGGTTAACTTCCCAAAAATACTAAAGTTCTTGTGGTTAGAAGAAGAAAATTTTAGAGGGATGAGAAAACTTTAGAAGAAGAGGCTTCAAACATTCCTAGAACTAAATGGTAGAATATATCCTGACTTAATCAAGGTTTTCTACACTACCTTTCCTTTGAAGATTGTATACTTAGGTCACATGTTAAAGGTGATCACTCTCACAATTTTGAAAAAAAATAGTGGGACTGAAAAATGAAGGGGTCAAAGTTTCTAAGGGGTATACAAATGTTGTTGAGGAATTCAACAAGGTGCAACATTTTAAAGTTTTCTGAAGAATTGAGGGGACCCCATCAAAACTTTCAATGTTAGGAAAATAAGACTGATAGGCTACTTGCCTTCATCGTGGCTTAGTAGCTCACACCCAAGGGGAGCAATCATGCTTTGCTCAATGAAAGAGATCTTGTGCTTATGTACTATATCCAGAACAAAATAAAGGTCAACTGGGTGTATATGGTAAAGGATCACATGATGAAAGCCAAACACATGGTAGATTTCCAATACCCTATGTTATTCCAATTTCTAAATTTTTTGTTGGATTGGTGTGGATTAGAAGATGAACTTGCTAAAATTGTAAGGTCATCAAATGAAATTGATATTGCTACATTGCATAAGATGAGTTTCTTTAAGATTGATAGTTGTTAGGTTGCCAAAGGAAACATAAATCAAGCGGAAGGAGATAAAGAGAAAGAACAAGAAGACGCGAGGCCAAGTTCTATTAATGTTGTTAATGCAGGTGATGATGAAGGAGAAAATCCAAGCCCAATGAATCTAGATATGGTGCCTTTTACACCTTAACTTAACGACGAGACTCCACTATCATAGTTTGAAAGAATAATGTTGTCCAAAAAAAATTCATTACAGAATAACCAATGCAGACATTTGCAAATGACTAATGCATTACAACACAAACTATATAGGTTATATGACGGTTCCATTGCTTGTTTTCAGCACATAGATAATCAGTTAGAAGACATTTAGAACAAGATTGGAGATTTGCAATTCAACCAGGGTCCATAGGAAGACTATATCCTTTTGATTGGCTATGTTTTTTTTCTCTCTCTCTCTTTTTGCTTTTATTTTATTTTATTTTGGTCTATAATATTATTGGTTCTACATCAGACACATTTCTCTTTCTACATTTGAATTGTTTGAACTTTGCCTCTTTAAAAATTTTCATTCTCCTTTGATTACAGTTTGATGAAGTCAAAAGGGGGAGATTTATGTGGATGAATCCTGATGTTATATGTTGCATATACAAATTTGACACATGTTGCATGTACATAACACACTATCTCATGCTATCTCGTGTTTCTTTCCATATATTTTTTTCAGAAAGGAAATCAACATAGTTGTTTAAGATAACATAGTTGTTTGTCTTCATCAAACAAAAGTTGTTAAACATGGTTTGAAATTGAAAAAGATTGAAGATGATTTGATAAAGTCAAAGTTTGCTTAATGATGTATTCATGTTGTTGTTGTGTGTATGTGTGTTATGAAAATTTATAAGCATAATTTATTCCTTAATTGACCCCACTTGGACATTGAAAAAAAAAATTTTTAATCAGTTAAAAAATTATTTAATCTTTTAATATGTTTTTTAATCACATTTTTAATCCTTTTCATTAATTAAATCCATTAAAACCAAAAAATTATGAGTACCTTGATTTTTAAACTTGTTAACACATGTTTTTATGGATTAAAACATTTTTGAAAAAATTTGAACAACTTGTGGTTCACAAATTTAATATGTTAAAATTAATAAATTAAAGTGTTCTTGCGAAGAAAGTATGATCTTTAAGACTTCATTGTTTTAATTTATTAAAAGTTTGTTTAATGATTAAAATTTTCTTAGGTTCTTTGAGAAAATATATGACAATTTATTTTAGTATGTTAAAATTTAGCATAAGACTTACAAAATTTAAAACTTGAACTTAGAGAAATTCCGACCCTCTTTGTTTTAATTAATTAAATTATTTTTAATATGTTAAAGCTACTTGAAGCCTTTTTAAAGCTTGAAATGAACGTTCTATTTTAATCTTGAATTAATCAATTAATCCATCTTTTAATAAAATTAATTTATTAAAATGATATTTTAATTACGAGTTTCAAAATAAGTTTAGCCCCATAGATCGACCTAAGACATAACCTAAAAAAAAAAATTATGGCCAAAATTGAATTAGGCATATTTTGGCCTTATCTATATAGAACATGGTCTACATAAGCTTAAGTTAGGCTAACTCGTAGGTGTATATGCTTACCCGTTTTATACAATAATAACTATTTTTTAAATAAAAATTATATTATTTCATTAATATACATACATACATACATATATATATATATATATATATATATATATATATGAAAATGATGAAGATCTTATTGAAATACTCTAGCAAAGATCTTGTTGATTTGATGAAGTCAAGAATGAAGTCAAAGGCAACCTTGTGGAAGTCAAAAGTCACTTAGATAAAAGAGTAGAGGGATTAGTGTGTCTGCAGCTCTGCTTAGGTATAATCATTTTTATCTTTTCTGCTGCATGAGGTTTCTTCACTTAAAAGATTTTGCAAAATGCCTCTAAAAATGTTTAAACGGTCAAAATCAAAGTATTTTGATAAAAGCTTTCTTAATCAACTATTTTAACTAATAGCATATAAGCTTTATCAACTAAAATGTTCTTCACACTTTTATAACAGGTTTTTAACTGATATAACTTCGAAATAATCGATTGATTTCATTAAAAGAAGTTTGAAAACCTTCTGCCAGTATTTTAACTGATACAGCTTCGAAATAACCGATTAAAATCACTTAAAATGTTCAGAGAAGTGTTTTGGCAGTATTTTAATCAATACAACTTTGTTTTAATCGATTAATTTCATTTGGTATACTATATGACCGATCAGAATGCGATTATGACCGATCAGAATCGGATATGATCGATCAGAACTTAGTTATGACCGATCAGAATTATTTCAATCGATTAAATTACGTTTTAATCGATTAAATCAACTTAAGAAAATTCATACTACGCGTTTTAATCGATTAATACGAGTTTTTATCAGTTAAAATCACTTGGAAAAGTTTACAAGAAAGTTTTGCAGTATTTTAATTGACTGAAACACGAAACAATCGATTAAAACAAATTAGAAGATTTTGTACAAAGATTTTTAATTGATATAAACATTGTCGTATCAGTTAAAACAAATCTAGAAAATAATCAAGAACGTTTTAATGGATTAAAAGAAGTTTTAACAGATTAAAACAAGGCTTTTAACAGATTAAAAGATTATTTTAACAGATTAATTAAACCAGCTGTTTTGAAAATCTTCTATATAAACAGAGGTGCTTGATCATTTTAAAATACATCTAATACACATCCTTTTGCAATCATTCAAGCAATCAAAAGTACTTCTTTCAAGAAAGATTCACGCTAGTTTTTGTGAAGTTCAAAAGAATTCTTTCTTGAGGCAAAACTGCATTCTTTTGAGAAGAAACAACTTACTGCAGAATTGCATAAAACTGGTTTGAGCATTCTAGTTTCTTCTGTTTGTTTCTTTACATTCTTTTCTGTATTGTTAGTGCCTGGAATTTTGGGCACTGGTTTCTCTGCAGTTGGAATTTGGTTGTAGAGGTTGTCAAGAACTGAAATTTGGTTCTTGGTGAAAGGTTAGGAGCAAGAACTGGAATTGTGGTTCTTGTGGTAGATTGAGTGTGTGATTAAGGTTGTAATCTGTAAAACATTCAATCTAGTGGAACCCAGCTGGAATTTGGCTGGAGACTGGACGTAGCCCTGGGATTGGGTGAACCAGTATAAACCTTGGTGATATCTTTCTAAACCTTTCTCTTCTTTAAT